ACTGAACCCAGGGATGCTTAACCATTGTGCCACAACCCCAGACCTTTTTATTTTTTGAGACAGGCTCTCAGTAAGTGGCTTAGACCCTTGCTAAATTGCTAAAGCAGGCCTCAAACTTACGATATTCCTGTGTCAGCCTCCTAAACCGCTGAGATTACAAGCACTACTGTGCCCGGCTCTAGTACTTCTTTTCTTGAGGAGTTAAAAGATTTACATTTTAACAAACTTCCTTATTCTTGGAAGGCCCAAACCCAGCATCTTAGGCAGAGCTCAGCAATACCTCTTGAGAACAAAGGTCAAGGATGGGATCTGTTTCTGCATCCTTCAAAGGGTAAGCCGACCTTATCTGGTAGATATTACTTTTAGGTTATTTTCCAGAAATACTTTACATGGTAACTGTAAATGTTAAGTCTTCTTCATAGAAAACATTCATCCATAGGATGCTTTGGTGTCTTTCCCCAAGAGAGAATGAATTTAGTGTTTCTATCCAACTTAGTGTGCTTTCATTACTTCAGCATCTTTATGGCTCAGGGAGACTCCAAATGGAGCAGACATTTTTGTTTGGATCTTGGAAATGTTATGTCTCACCAGAGGCTGATATTACCTTTACCAAAATGTAGCTCAGAAAAGGAATAAAATACCATTCACATATTCATCAATACTCATGAAAGGAAAGTGACCATGACACTCAAAGTGACCAAGAGATCTTTATTGCTATTGTGACAGTGTCTGATCTACCAGAGAAAAAGAGGAGGGGGTGGGTGGCAGGAGAAGGTTTTTATAGCCCTGTGCTGTGCTGCCTAAATCTAATAGGGTCTCTGGTCTACAAGCTGCCTGTTTGGGGTACAGTGATTGGGTCACACAGTAGTTGCTAAGAGTGTCATCTTCTGCCTTCAAGAGGATTGGGCATGGGCTAGGTGCAGGTTTCAAATCGAAAAACAACAAGAGGAAGTAAAGGGAAAAGGCACCAAATAACCATCCCCAAAGGAAGGGCTAAGGAAGGGTGGGGGTTGCATACTCAGTTTACTGTACTAAAATCGTGAGAGACAGAGGAGGCTCTAATGGGAAACCAGACATGGACCCTGACCTCAAGTAATTCACAGGGTGTTTAGAATACCAGACTTAGGTATGTAAATTATAATGGCCCTAGGATAATGATTCCTGCTATAAGTGGGAGTATCAAAAACATCTTAATGCACTTCATAGGAGAGAGCAACCAACCTTAAAATTTGTACAATAGCAATTTTCTTCCCTCCATTTTGAATCTCAATACCCCAATATAAATCTTTCTGTGGGAAAAAATCTGAGTATATTAAAAAATTGCTAGCGAAGAATACCTAATAGAAAGTATTCAAGCTGAGCCATTTTTCTGGTACTTAAGAAGCCATCATCCATCCACAAGGGTACCTGTGGATGGCCTCTTCCAGGTGGGATTATCAAGCTGTGTGAGCAGTAGCTAGATCCTGTATGAAGTGCTACAGCTTTAAAAGCACACTTCCATCCACCACCTGTTAGGTCTTATCTATGGAATGCCTGGCACCATAGAAAGCGCAGCCAGAACACCAGAGCTCTGATTCTGCTCAGCTCTCTTGCTGAAAAACGAAGGCTTTAGTAACTAGGTCCTCTGCAAGGCTCCTTGTGCAGCTAGATGGGTGGGGCACATTTTACTGTCATCATTTTACAGATAAAGAAACTCAGGTCAAGAAGGTCAGGGACTTGCACAAGGCCCCAGGTGATAACCAGATCTAATCCTTGAGATTAGACACCACACCTGTAAGGACAAACCATTTCTTCTACATCAGACTAAGAACCACCTCTGTGGGCAACAGTACACATAGAAACCCACATAGCACTAATTGAAGGATTTAAGTTACCACTCAAGACAACAAAGTGCTAAAATATCTTAACGAATACCTCTTTGCAAGGACCTGGATAACCAAGTGTCAATTAGGAATTCTTGGAACCCACCAAGGGCTGGAAAGTGCCAGGGAAGATAAAACTGACCCCACCAATACTCTACCACATGAAAAGGGCCCAAGTACACACTCAATTGAATAGTCATTGCTCAGAATCCCAAACAGATGCTGGAAGTGGTTTTGGCACCATGTGGACAAGGCACTCAAGTGTTCTGACTAGCTGGAGCCTGGTCTAGAAAAGGGTTCTGCAGCCAGATGGATCATTAGCTTGACCCTGTGGGTGGGGGCACTGCCAGAGGAGAGGTGGGATGTGGCATGGACAGAGGTTCCTCTTGCCTGGCTTTTTAAAAGCCAGTTTGAAGGCCCTGGATGTAGCTCAGCAGAAGAGTGCTTACCTGGCACGGTGGTGATGTGGACTTGATCCCTCGCACCAAGGGGTGGGGAGAAAGTTTGTTCACATTGAATCTAAATTCAACCTAACCTAAGAAAGAGCAAAAACTAGGAATTTTCTTGTGAGAAGGCAGTGCTGTCTAGTGGTTAGACCAGACTCTGCAGCTTCCGTTGGAATCTAAGCTTTGCTACATTCCGCTGTGAAATCTCTAGCAAGTTACCCAACATCTCATGGCCTAGGTTTCTTCTTTAAAAGGGGTACAATAATAGGCAGATATTCAACATTGGGCAAAGACTGGCAGGATTCTATCCAGCTATATTAGAAGAATTTGTTTCAGAGATTTTTCTGGAGACTTATATAAGCATAATTATATGCAAGTACTCTGACAGCCAAAGGTGAAAGCCCTCTCTCCACTAAATAGAAGGCTCTGGACGCGGCGGGAGCGCCAGCCACCGCACCCCAGGCGTAGGCTGCTGCCCTTATTCCGCCCAGTGCCCAGAGTTTGCCCGAGGACTTCCTGCTGCGGACTCGCACTGGAGCCCGGGTTTGAAGAAGGTTAACTTGCTAACGTGGCCGTGAGTCATGGCGGGACTAGGAACTGAAACCAAGCGTCAGCACCCCTCCTGGCTCATCCTTCCTGTGCAGACGGTTAAACCAGAGAGCAATGGCAAAGGATGAGAGAGGCAGGATGCCGGGTCAGGGTTGTCCTTCCCCATCCCCTTCGCCCTGGGGCTCACGCTACCAGCCAGTGATGTTTGCAGACAGGTCTTGACACCTCTCCTTGCAAGGATGAGAGATACTCAGAACAAGTCTGGGCATCTTCCTCGCGCCTCCAGGGAAAGCGAGCCGAGCCAAGTCTAGCGACTGCCTGCCCAATAGCACAGACGTTTCCGAACAAGCAAGCCTGGACATTCCCCGCGCCTCTCCGGGTGAAACGAGTTCCAAGTGGCTCATTTCTCATCCTAACACCCTCCCCCCTCCCTACAGAAAAACTTGGAAACTTTGCTGTTTCCTGCAGACCAAGAATTGTAATCAGCCCTATCAGCTCCCTACAGGGGACAGTCGTGACTGGGCACCGAGAGTCAGACTCCCTCTAAAACACCAACAAAGGACTATATTTAGTTCTGAGCTCTCCGCCTAAATTCTTATTTTTTCACTCATCACTGCAAAACGACTGGGTTGGGAAAGTGGGAGGAAGGGGGCAGGGGAATAGCGGAGAAAGAACAGCTGTGCCTCCGCCTCCCAACTCAATCTCTATAAATAACCAATCGCGAAGGGAGGCTACTTTTCAGCCAATGAAGCAACCCAAACTGATAAAACCTTGGCGGTGGCCAATGGCAGAAGACTGGAGGGTGTGAGACTCGCGCCCTGGGACCAATGAATGCGGAGTCCAGGAGAGGTAATTTGAGCTGGAGTGTGGGCGTGCGGTGCAAAAGCTTCCTACTTCCAAGCCCAAGGACCAGCTCTGCCGACTGAGCATGCCCTAAACTGCGGGTGCCGCCAGGCTTCGGGATTGGGATGGGGCCCGTTTTTCCGGGTTTTGGCCACTGCAGTGTGGGTAGGTGGGTGGGACCCACCAATTGAGGGTGGGACTCGGGCCCGCCCCATCCCTGCAGGAAGGGAGCTCCAGGCGCCACCGGCTGCCCCATCCTGAGTCAGGACTGAGTCTCCGGCCCGATTCCTCCTGTTTTCTTTGTTGGAGGGCTGCAGTGCAGGAATTGAGGGCCGGCTTCGCGGGGGAGCGCTCTTCCTGCGAACAGTTGAGAAAGCATTGCGCAATGGCAGTAGGGATCGTCCACTACCGCCGCTGCCTTCCGTTGCCCGAGACATACAATGGCCTGGGGCTCTGGGAGTAGCATCTTCGGATTTTTGATAACGGGCAGTCCAGAGCAAGAACCACCCCATCCCAGGTCCCGCCCGCCGCGCTCCACGCTTCTCGCAGGGCCGCCGCCCTCTGCACAACCCCAGAGCCACAAAAGAAGGTGACCTCCATCCTCCGGTCCGAGCTTTCCCAGCTCCTCTTACACACGTAGACACACCTTTCTCCCGCAGCGCACACACTTATCTAGTTCCTGGACTTGCTTGGCTCCCGAATCCGCTTCCCGAGACTCAAATCCAGAGCCCCGCCTCTAACCCCGCCTCCGCCCGACCCAGCAGAAAACCGGGCGCGGAAGTCGGGCGGGCGACCGGAGGCGCACTGGGCATGCTCGCCCGCGCGGGGAGGGCCGGGTTGCGCGCGGCGAGTAGGAAGCCCTCGCCCCACGGAGGCTGCAGGAGAGAGCGCGATGGGCCTCGGCGGTGGGCGCACGTTCCGCGGGGACTCATGCCCTACGTGTCCCGGCCCGACGCGCAATTAGCAGCCGCCTCTGCAGCCCGGTGCCGCCGCCTCCCCGCCCTCCTGGGCTGCCGCCGTGAGGAACTCCAGCCGTCGCCTCGCTCAGCTGCCTGCATTGTCCTCCGGTCCGCCGCCGCCGCCGCGGACTGCAGCGGGGCCCCGGACCCGCGCCCCAGGGACGCGCCGCCGCCGCCTCAGGTCGGCCCGGAGCCGGCCCGCGATCTCCACACCCTACGCTCCGGGCCGCGCTCGCGTGGGTTTTTGCTGTGGAGCTGAGGAAGGGAAGAAGTCTAGTCGCCAAGCCCAGCCTTCAGCGGCGCGCAGCCCCGACGGGGCCGCGGCAGGCGTGGTGCGAGCGCCGACGGAGCCATGAGAGAGTACAAAGTGGTGGTGCTGGGCTCGGGCGGCGTGGGCAAGTCCGCGCTCACCGTGCAGTTCGTGACGGGCTCCTTCATCGAGAAGTACGACCCGACCATCGAGGACTTCTACCGCAAGGAGATCGAAGTGGACTCGTCGCCGTCGGTGCTGGAGATCCTGGACACGGCGGGCACCGAGCAGTTCGCGTCCATGCGGGACCTGTACATCAAGAACGGCCAGGGCTTCATCCTAGTCTACAGCCTGGTGAACCAGCAGAGCTTCCAGGACATCAAGCCCATGCGGGACCAGATCATCCGCGTGAAGCGGTACGAGCGCGTGCCCATGATCCTGGTGGGCAACAAGGTGGACCTGGAGGGGGAACGCGAGGTCTCTTACGGTGAGGGCAAGGCCCTGGCCGAGGAGTGGAGCTGCCCGTTCATGGAGACATCGGCCAAAAACAAAGCCTCTGTGGATGAGCTCTTCGCCGAGATCGTGCGGCAGATGAACTACGCGGCTCAGCCCAACGGCGACGAGGGCTGCTGCTCGGCCTGCGTGATCCTCTGAGGCGCCCGCGGCCGCCAGGCGCCGGCCTTGCTCTGCGCACAAAAGCCAAACGCATCCGACTCTCTAAATGTGATTTCCTTTCTTGCTTTGAGATTGGAGACGACTTTGCATTGGCCGGGGTGTCCCGGGAGCCCGGCTGGCTTCCGGGGCCCGCATCCCTTGCCTTCGCCCCGTGTCCGAGGGGTGCCCCGTCCTGACCATCCGAGACCCTGGTGGAAATGTGGCTCTTTGCAGCATGTACGTTTCTCATTGATTTCGGTTGACGCATATTCCCCCGTTTAAGTGGCCGTTAGGGTGCTGTATTGGCAGCTCGACACCCGGCAAGCAAAAGTTTCAGCCTGGAAATAAATGGGGGTGGGGAGGTGGAGGAAGTGGAGGGGGAGAAGGTGGAAGGGGGGGGTCTTCTCTCTCTCTTTCTCTCCCTCTGTCCCTCTCTCTCTTTTGTTAATGACTCTTTTCTAGTTCCGAGTTTTAAATACATGGAAGTCCAGTCCAGTCCGGGAAACCCATATGAAGGAGCAGAAGGAGAGGAAGAAACTCTTGTTTTTTCCTTGTTTTCCAGGAGTAGCTGGAAATTTAGATCGGGTTCCTTTCCTGCCAGCTTGGAAGGGCAACCCCTCGTGACTGGTTGTGATTCTGAGGATGTCTATGCAAAGTTGGATTCTTGTTACATTGTATCCAATCTGAAGTATTGCACATCTGAACTGGGACTGTTAACACTGATGCCAATACAGTGTGGGGTGCCAGAAAGTGTCTGCTGATATTTGTGGAAAAAAAAAATCTATTTTGTTTACCTACTGTATCAAAGGGGAGCCTTGGGAGAATGGTAGTATTTTTTTTTATCAGCTGTGAAAAAAAAATGTTACAGATCCTGCACATTTTTGTGTGTACTATGGTGTGTGTGTGTGTGTTTTAAGTTTAGCTTTTTTTTTTTTTTTTTAAAAAAAATTCTTTTGGTTGGCAGCAACAGATTTTAATGACTAGCTTTTAAAAATATAATACAAAGACTTTGTAAATGTGATTCAGGGCCCCCAGCACCCCTGTGTCTGCAGAGTGCCTTCAAAACTCAGCTGTTCAGCCGCTGCCAACCGGTGAATTTCCCACCAGTACCAGAATCTGCTATTCCCCAAACCACTTACCAGTTTCCTTTCAGTAATCTTCCTGAAGGAGCCAGGACAAAAGGGCCTGTTGTTCGGTGAATTTATTATTTTCAGCCTTTAAAATGTAATGTCTATGTCTTGTAATGGGTTGTCCCTCCCCCCCCCCCTTTTTTTGCTTCATTTTGTTCAATTTTCAGGTATTTAGCTCCCCTTACATATTATTTTTTAAATGTTTTGATTTTCTGTTATAGGGTGTACCTTCAGAAGCAAGAGCAAGATTTCACTGTTATGATGTATCAAGTTCTAATTGTAATTTTAATTCCACTCGTTTAATCATTGTCTCTTCATTTTAAGACTTTTAATACAAAATGCCATTTTTAAAGAAACAAGCCCAAAAGTATTGTTTGTGTTTCTGTGTTTCATATTCTGTGATGTACAGCATCAGTGGTAATGCAGTATCATGGCTGAGGTAGGCAGGGGCAGGAAGCAGAGCTGTCAAATTTTGAAGATAACAGATGTATCTCTGTGACAAGTTGGGTGTGACATTCCTTCCAACTTCTTAAATGTGGAGAAAGTCCTCAGGCTTAGGAAGCCCTGGCCATACCTGCTGACTAAAAGATGAGGAGGCATCCTGGTTGTATTCTGAGATGGAGCCATTGGCTTGCTCTGGGTAGTGGTGTGGGGGGTGGGGGGTGGGGGGTGGGAGGGGCACCAACTGCTAATGCTGACTTAGAGCTGGGAACTTCACCCTCAGCCAAGTAGGGTGGCACTTTGGGTCCTTCATCCTGTTGTGTTTATGTTGTGCATCAAGTTGAAAGCCCGTTTGGGGATGATTTCTCATGCTGACATCATGCCATGTGGTGTGTTTTGCACTGTATCTGAACCTGTCATAGACAGTATTTCAGCAGTTTCATTTGGAAACAGATCTGTTCCCTTGATCTTGTTGCACTGTGCTGTGTGTGGACCATATTTGACCTCATACATTCTTCCTTCTGACAGTAGGAGGCAGTGTAAGCTTTTTTATTTTTTATTTTTATTTTTCTTAAGGAGGTCTTTAATCTGTAAAATAGCCTCTACAGAATAAAAGAAAGTGTCTATGTCTTTTAGAATACTTGATACATCTTAGGTTTTAAGTATAGTTGAAGTGTGGTGAGTCTTCAAACAAAAGGGATTTATTCCCCTAACAAAGCCAAAAGAAATTAGAGGCTATAGGTTTCTTTAAAGCTATATTAACATATCTTGCCTTAAAATATGTGTTTTTTTTTTTTTTTTTTTTTTTTTTTGTTGTTGTTGTTGGTTTGCCTGGGAGGCATTTCAGTATTCCTTTGTGGCAGAGGAATTATTTATTTTGATTGTGATACATAGGCCTGCCCCCCCCCCCCTTTTCCCCACTGATCCCACTTAGGTTGATAATCAAACACAATTAGAAAGCAATTGTAGAAACTGAGAGAAACTGTCCAAATTGATGTATTGCAAGGATTTGTTCTTGCATTTGAGTAAATTTGGTTACTTAATTCAATCCAAAGTGTTGAAAATTCTGAAGATGTGTCAAGTACTCTGAAGGATTTGTAAAAAACAAGGTATTTGATGATTCTGTCATTCTTAATTTTTATTATTAATTGGAAAGCCTTTGACAAAAAAGCTAGTAGGTATATAATTTAAGAAATTATATAATCCTGACAGGAAATATTTGAAAATGGGAATTTGGAAATGGAATAGATTGCTGGGTGCATTAATCACCTTCCCGCAGGGTTTAGTCACTTGCATGACTAAATTCTGTATAGGTCTAGGGTGGCAGAGCAGAAGAGTTTAACATGTTTTTACTGAATACTGTAAAATAAATGCTTTTTGAGTTCTCAAAGCAATTTTATGTGTACTGGAGCAGGAAAAATAGTTCTGTGCTGTTTTGGTTTTCTCTGTTATTTTCTGGACAAAATTGAGAGAAATTTAGGGACATTTCTACTTTTTTCTTAAAAAAACGTTTTTACAATGTTTATTTGGCTAGGAGGAACCGCTTCTGGTATTGTGGTGTGAAGAGATAAGAGCATTTGTTTGAATGACAAAGTCAGGCTGACTTGGAGTGTGAAGGAAGTAGAGCAGGGAGGGAGGGAGGAAGGGAGGAGTTTGGGAAAGGAGGCTTCTTGAGGAGCCTGGCTGGCTATTAAACTTGACCCCTGCTGTTTTTTAACAGCTTTCTTTTTTGGCCTCTGACAGCCATCCCAGTTTTATGTCATTTCAAAGGATTATTTTTCTCCTCCTTTGTGACCACCTCAGGAAAGTTGAAGTATCTGTGTAATCTTAACACCTTCAGCTTTGAGTGCTGTGGATTTTGGGTCCTGTTTTCCATGTTAGCTGCTGACATGGACTTCATTGAACCAGATTTTGGAACCAGATCTGTATGATGTTAGAGTTCTCTGTGTGTGAGACTTCATGCCTTCTGGTTAGTTAATATTTCCTGTGGGTGGGAACCCTAAAACGCCCCATCTGTTGAGGTTTCCTGGTGGCACTCTTAAGTGAGTTCTGGTGGGAAGGGATGGCAAAGAGAGATGCCAGTTCCTGCACCTTAACTGTCATAGAAACATAGATTTGTTTTGCATGACAGCTAGAATGAGTTTCTACATTGTAAATGTGAAGGGAACCAAGATTTTATCTGGAGATCACCACTTTTAGTTAAAATGACATCAGATATTTTTTTCACATTGTCTGCTTAATCCGGAAAAGCTGGCTAACATAAATTTATGAAAATGTAGCTGGTTTTATTGATGTTAGGCATGATTAGATGAGTTTAATCAGATGGAACCCTAGTTCTAGATGAGTGTTGATCTACTCACAGTAGGATTTTGGTGGCTTGAAAAGGCTATAGAGATTTACCAGAGGTTCTCAAAGGACCATAAACCAAAATGAATTGAAGGTTAAAACATTGTTGGACCCCTCTTCCGGTTTTTTGTTTAATTCAGTGGATTTGGGTTAGGACTTTTGTCATTTTAATTTCTAACAAGTTTCCAGGTGATTGTGATGTTGTTGGTCCAGGGACCATACTTTGAGAACAAATGACCTAGTCCAAACTCCAGAAGGGTACTCTCCTGAGAGCCTCTTGTATAGAGACACAGATGGAAGACCTGGGCACTCTTGTAGCCTGCTTTCTACCAGTTGTAGAAAACCTCCATAGAAATCCACTGCTCCAGAAGACACCCACCATTCACACTTGGATTGTCAGATTGTCCTGTGAGTAGGACAGGGCAGACACATTGCAGACGGGGCTTTTGATCATTGTCACCTTCTCTGAGCAACTTGGCTGTGGTTTTAATGTTAATTTGGTTGACTCTAAACAAAAAAGTGATCAGGGACATAGCTTCAATGATTAGAATCAATGGTTGCAATCAACCGCCCTCTCATCCCCACCCACCCCCATGTTTTTGAAAAGAGAGTCTTTGGCAAACTGCTTTAAGCTAATTTGTCTTCTCAGGGCTGCAGGTATATAGTTCAGTACTTGAAGCCCTGGGTTCCATCCCCAGCACTGCAAAATAAGTAAATAAATTAAATGAATAAATAAATAATAAAGGAAATAATAAAATATTTGTCTTCTTTTTCCCTTGAAATAAAAAAGGCAAGCATTTTAATTTTTCCTGCTTCCTAGCAAGGATTCTAAAAATAAATTGTTAGAGAATTTTAATTTTCAGGTTGTAGTGATCACTGTGTGTATGTGTGTCTTCTCAAAGGTCCAGGTGCTAGTTAATTAATTCAGTCTCAGTTCTGTTGTTACCCAGTCTGGAAAATGCATTCAACCCAACTGGGGCTGTGTCTTGTCTCATTATGCATCTTAACACCCAAGGAAGTTCCCAGGACTCCAGGGTAAAGGTCTGGGAATTAAAGGTAGTGTCAGGGCTTAAGAAATTGTGGGCTGAGGCCTGAGGATATAGCTCAGTGGTAGAGCCCATGTGTAGCTTTCATGAGGCTCTGGGTTTGATCCCCAGCACCAAAAAGGGGGGAAAAAATAGTGTGTTGAGATCTTATAAATAATGGAGTTGCTCTTCTCAGATTTCAGAGCTGGGTGGAGTTGATAAGCTGAAAGAGTAAAAGCTGTTGTTCATGTTTGGGTGTGAAGAAGGGACCTTACTCAGAACTCCTTTACATCTTTAGTATTTTCTGGACTTGGGGTATTTGCTTGCTTTTACCCTAATAATGATGATGTTAATAAATGTTTCTGGCAAAAATATTTCTTGTTCACCTTCTTGTTGACTGTTCTCCTTTCTGTAGCACGGCAGTCTTGGGCTCACTGTCTTTGCTTAGTAACTATTTGCAGAATGAAGGGAATATGGAATATTTAAAAAGTCTGAAACTACTCAATAGAAGCTGCACCATGACTAGAGAATGGTAGGTTTTTGTCTTCTCTATTGATGCTAGGTTTGTCATGATAGTCTTTGGAACTATGTCTTCCATTTCAACTACACATAAAATAAAATTTTTGTGGTTTTTTTTTTTTTTTTTTTTTAAAGTCTAGTTTGCCATCTGTTAAAAGAAATTGGTATATGTTATTCCGAGGCTACATTTTACTTTAAAACATTTATGGCTGACAGTTTGAGCCTTGTGAAGTGTTAGAGAGCTCTATCATCAGCTAGTGCTAGTGTAGTGAAAGTCTAGCAGTGTTAGTCTATTTTTATCTTGACTTTTATGTTGATTTCTACTGCCATTACTTTGGATTACTACTTGATTTTATTAAGCTGTTCACATTTCAAGGTGATATTGGTTTTGGAATAATATATTTTAACAGCATCCTGATTACCATTTCTAAGACAATCTGAATTATTTAATAGTTTATTCATTAGAACTC